TATATATATATTAATATTATATATATATATATTATATCATATATATACCAATTATAATATATATATATCAATATATATATCATATATAAATATATATATCAATATGTATATATATAATTAAGATATATAAATCAATATATATATCAATATATGTATGAATGTGATATATATATCATATATATATCACTATATATATAATATATATATCAATATACATATATTCAATAAAATTATTATATATATATTACTACATATATTTATCAAAATAATATATCCATATATATATGAATATAATATATATATTATATGTATGTAATCATATGTATCAATAAGTATATATATATATTACTACATATATATATATCAAAATATATATATCAATATATTCAATATATATATAATTTATATATATCAATATATATATCAATAGTATATATATATATCAATATATAAATGTATCAATATATATTATAATATATATATCAATATATATATATACCAATGTATATGTATATCAATAATATATATCAATATTTATATTAAATATATTACATATAATATATATATAATATATATATATATATCAATGTAATAAAGAATATATATATCAATATGTATATAAATATATATATTATATATTTGTATATCAATATATATATCCATATATATATTAATATATATATATATATTATATCAATTGCAATATATATACATACCAATATATATATATATCAATATATATATTATATTATCAATATATATAAATATATCATCAATATTATATATATCATATATATATATATATAACAATATATATATATATATATATCAATATATATATATATATCAATATAATATATATCAATAAATATATATATATATATATATCATATATATATATCAATAAATATATATATCTATATATATATCAATATATATATCAATAAATAATATATCAATATATATATCAATATATATATATATCAATGTATATATATCAATATATATTCAATTTATATATTAATATATATATCAATATGTATATAATCATATATATATCAATATATATATAATATATATATCAATATATATATCATATATATATCAATATAATATATATCAATATATATATATAATATATATATATCAATATATATATCAATATATATTATATAATCATATAATATATATCAATATATATATATATATAATATATCAATATATATATATCATATATATATACAATATATATATCAATATTTATATATACATCAATATATATATATATATATCAATATATAATATATCAATATTTATATATCATATATATATATGAAATATATATATATCAAATATACATATCCAATATATGTGTATATATATCAATATATATATATATCAATATATATATCAATATATATATATCAATATATATATATCAATATATATATATATCAACATATGTATATCAATATATATATCAATATATATATATATATCAATATATATATATATCAATACATATATATATATCAATACATATATATATATCAATATATATATATTTATCAATATATATTACTACATATATCAATATATATATATATCAATATATATATCAATATATATATATGTCAATATATATATATCAGTATATAATTAATATATATATTTATATATATATATGTCAATATATATATATCAATATATATATATATCAATATATATAATATATATATTAATATATATTATATACCAACATATATGTATATCTATATATATCAATATATATATCAATATTTATATAAATATATATATAAATATATATATGTATATCAATATATGTATATCCATATATATATTAATATGTATATCAATGTCAATATATATACATATCAATATATATATCAATATATATATTATATCAATATATGTAAATATATATATCAATATATATATATCAATATATATATATCAATATATATATAATATATATCAATATAAATATTTATATCAATATATATATATCAATATATATTATATTAATATATATATATCATATATATATATCAAATATATATATATCAATATATATATATATTTAATTATATATATATATATCATATATATATATATAATCAATATATTTATATCAATTTATATATATCAATATATATACATCAATATATATATATATCAATATATATGTAAATATATCAATATATATTATCAATATATATATATATAATATCATTATTTAATATATATATCATTATTTATATATATCACTACATATATATATCAAATATATATATATCAAAATATATATATATGTATATATATCAATATATATATATCAATATATATATATATATATTATATATAATTTATATATATATCAATATATATATCAATATATATATTAATATATATATTAATATATATATTTATTAATATATATATATATAATATATATATATATCAATATATATATATTAACATATATATATATTAATATATATATATATATCAATATATATATCAATATTAATATAATATATATATATATATATCAATTACATATAAATATAATCAATATATATATCATATATATATATCATACATATATATATCATATATATATATATATCTATATATATATCTATATATCTATATATATATATATATATACATTAATATAAATTTATATATATATATCTGTATATATATCAATATATATATATATATATCTGTATATTATATATATATCAATATATATATATATTTATATATATATCAATATATATATAATATATATCAATATAATATATATATATATATATAATATATATAATATTATATATATATCAATATATATATATATCAATATATATATATTTATATATATATTAATATATTTATATATTATCAATATATATATATTAATATATATATATAATATATATATATATCAATATATATATATGTATATATATATACATATATATAATATATTACATATATATATATATATATATATATATAATATATATAAATATATTACATATATAATAATATATTACATATATATATATATATACATTAATATAAATTATATATATATATCTGTATATATATCAATATATTATATATACATTAATATAATTTATATATAATATATCTGTATATATATATATCAATATATATATATATATATATTTATATATATCAATATATATATATATTTATATATATATCAATATATATATATATCAATATATATATATATATTTTATATATATATCAATATATATATATATATCAATATATATATATATATTTATATATATATCAATATATATCAATATATATATATCAATATATATATATCATATATATATATCAATAAATATATATATCAATATATATATATTATATATAATATATTAATATATATATATATATAATATATATATATATATAATATAATATATATATATATATATATATATATATATATATATCAATATACATTAATGCATATACATAAACATATAATTTGATATTATTTTCTAGGTTCGTCTTCACTCACATGATGTAAAATATGGGTCAGGATCAGGTCAGCAGTCTGTCACAGGAACTCAACAGCAAGATGACCACAACTCTAACTGGCTGATTAAAGGCACCCCGAAGAAGTCATGTAAACGAGGGTAAGTAAACTGTTTATATGTTTTCTTGAAAGTTTGAATGGATAAGTCATCATACATCTATGACTTAATCATACTACCTTTCAAGAAAACATCAATAATAATCCTTAAATAGATTACTATAATAATAATGATAATGATATTGATATTAGAAATATGAAACATATAAACATAAACAGAAAGTGTCAATTTTTTGGAATAAATGAGACATGATTTGTACTAGAGTGTCTGGGATAAGTTGCCATTTTTTCTATTCTGAGATTGGATGCAGTATAGCTACCAAGGAACCAATTACTAGGCCTACCAAGCCTAGTAAGATTACTAGATAAAAAGATTTGCAGAAAAATATATGACCAAATTTTTTTGTCTTGTGAGAGAAGTATACTGAAATGTTCACTTTATCAATCTGCAATCACAGGTATTGCCCTTAATTTGTCTTTAGGAACTGTTCCATGTTTGATATGATTTTGGTTAATGAAGCTCCTTTGACACGTCAGTTTTTTGCCATGTGCAGTCCACGGCCCAACAGTGTGCATTCCAGAGAAGGTGCCATTGTGTGTAAGACCAAGGCAAGACCATGTGCCGTCTCTTCTGTTGCCTTTAGTTTTAATATGGAAACTCAAAACCACCTGCTCTTCCTTTATTACTTATATTAAAAAAGTAATGTTCTCGTGTCAGGAAATGGGTTCATAGTATTGATTATTGGTTTTGCATTGGTGATTAAGGCATTTTGATTGCAGGGTATATTTTGTATACTACTTCCCTTGGGAAAAGGCTTTCATAAGCTGACAAATACTGTATATATGAAGTATATAATAGATATATCATTACATGTTTACAGATTTATTAACAAGTATGTGTATTTATTTTAATCTTTTCTCTTGGACTGATTAATCCATTTTTGAAGCCCTTGTTCATGACTTGTGTGCTCCCACCTCAGCTCATGGACATGAATTGAATACATGACTTTGTCACTGCAAGGCAAGTATAAGCCCACTGAGCCACAGCAGTGCCATTGAAATTTTCCGTTCATGTGAATAATGACAGATACATTTATCTTCTTCAGAACCCCCATTTCATGTGGTCAGCAAGTAAGGCTAGAACACCTTGCAACAAAACGCAATCTGCATTCACACCACTTCTCCTCACCTCTGTCAGACCAACAAGAAATTTCTGCATTTGGTAGTGATGGTGAGGGTGATTCTGGGGATGAGTGGCTTGTTATTTGTGATGGTGAAGAATGGGGCAGAGAGCAGTATATCATGTTCAGGCACATAGATACTGATGTGTAAGTGCAAGTATAATCATATGTTATTCATAGTTTATTTTCCTTTATATGATTTTTTTCATACAAATGGAAATAATTCTTTTACCTATCAAAAGATACGAATGATACATAGCAGTTTATGCAAGGGCTTATTGAATATAAAAATTATCCACTGTATGTGTTTTATATTAATATTTTTGTTTTCAACAGATATCTTGGAGTAACAGGACAGCAGTATGGGAGGCCAATTCATGGACAGAATGAAGTGGTAGGCTTGTCTCGCCCAGGTGTCCAAGCAAAGTGGCAGACAATGGAAGGAGTTTTTATTAAGTCAACAGATTTTTCTGAAGATGTTAGAGTTTTCCATGATCCTAGTGAACTCTAACTGTATATACCTTAGATACTTTTAAACCTAAATTGATTTGGCATAGGTGTTTTAATTTATTCCTTTTAGATATACTAAAGTTATGGCAGTATTGTTATGATGTTTTTTTTTTCTTTTCTTTTCATTTCTCAATATATTTAATGAATAAATTTCCATACAATGTCAAAAATACATTTTGTAGCAGACTTTAAGGAAAAACTTACCTTTATTTATTTATGAAGGAAAAGGTTTTTGCACAAGATGAAGGGCATTTTCTGCCTCCAGATGAATGTGTGTGTGTATAAATACAACAAATCTCTTCAGTACCCTTTAGTTTTATTAATCCATGATAACAGGGATTGTCTTTGCAACATTATTGTTAAAAGTCCATTCACATGTTGATTCATTGTAGATATCAAAATACAAATACAGTAGATAACACTGTTTCTTGTGTTGAAAACCTTATCTTCTCTGGTTTGCTGACCCCTGACTCTACTTTGATCCTGGCTCTGACCATTGCTCCTACACATGACCTCTATCCCACTATCCCCCACACCATCTCCTGCACAATATTCTTAACTATTTATTAATGGGCACACCTATAGCCATCATGACATAATGGCGTATGACATGTATAGATGTCAGGACTCGTTCTAGCAATTGAGTGAATGAGCCGGCTGTACACAACACAGGCCCAACCAGTAAGAATTGACTGTTGCTTAATTATTATGTCACAGAAAATTCTGGGCCCGTCATGGTAGGGTTAATTTTGTACCTCCCAGATTACAACTCTACTGTGGCCAATAATGAAGATCCTCTACCCATAACAGGTTAATAGGTGCATTAAAACTTACCCCTTCATCAAATAGCCCATCTGATTTTGATGGTTTTCCGACTCTTGCCCCTCCTTTGACCACGGCTCCGACCACTGATACTAATACTACCTCCTCTAAGTTTACTGACAAGTCTATCCATTCTGAACCACCCACCCCGGTTATTACTCTAATTCCAGAATGCACCCCTTTTTCTCTCCAACAATTCTCTTCTCCATCTCCTATAACACCAACTTCTTCAATGGCCGCCCTCTCTTCCTTTATTACCACTATTCATCCTTATTGTCCCCTCCACCCCCACATAATTACTCCACTCTACACCAGCCCATCATCTTTCCATCCTTGTCCTTCTACTGCCTCTACCTCTAAACTTTTTGAGTACTGTCTTTGCTCCAGCCAAGTAGGTTCACTTCTTTTTGATTCCCCCCCACAGCCCCTTGTTCTGAGAATACCTTTCTCTTTCAGCAGTGCCTCCAAAAACAAGTAGGCATAGTAACCTTTGCAGTCACTTTGATTGATAAGAGCTTTTGTAGACATAATCATCGCATGAAGTTTACATTGGTAGATTGTCCTACCATGTCCAACCATATCAACTCTCTCCCCATCAGCGTCAGAAACATTGCTGTTTTGGCCACCCAGCCAAATACTGTCGTTCCACAGCCCACTGCCCTCTATGTGCCCAACCTCGTTCAAACTGCCCTGCTCAGTCATGTACATGTGCCAACTGTGGTGACTTCCTTAATTTATATTATAGGAGCAGCCCTGCCTATAAGCTTGAATTTGAGGTAGTAGTTTTCAGATTTAAACTAGGCCTCACTTTACATGAGGCCAAACAAGAAGCATGTGACAAGGTTTTTCTCTCTACCTATTCCAAAACAGGCTTTCTCTCTGAATCCCTCCCCCCATTTCCATGAATGTTTGTGCATCTCCCCATTATCTCTTCCCTTCCCCCCCAATCCCTTGCCTGCTGTATTAGGGGGGCTTAGGAGATGAAGACTGAGACCCAATACAGGGATCTCCCCTGCCTAGGGCCTCAGCCCTCGACTCAACTAATTTTGCCTTTTCTTATCCCCCTCCAGCTTTTTGTTTCCCTCCCTTCTCCAACCCCTTCTACTATCTACTTCCCAAGGTGTAAGAGCCGTGCTGAAAGGATGAAAGGCTGACCTTGTGCCAGTCCTGAACAGCCTGCAGGAACCATGGGCATGGTACTCCCGATGTAATTGTCTAGCCCTTACCCACCCACCCCAATCCCTTGCCCGTTGTTGTTGTGAGAGGGCTTAGGAGACGGAGACTGAGACCCAATGCAGAGATCTCCCCTGCCTAGGACCTCAGCCCTCGACTCAGCTAATTTTGCATGGTCTTTTCTCCCTCCAGCTTTTGTTTTCATCCCTTCTCCATCCCCTTCTACTATCTACTTCCTAAGGTGTGAGAGCTGTGCTGAGAGGATGAAAGTCTGACCTTGTGCCAGTCCTGAACGGCCTGCAGGAACTATGGACACGGTACTCCCAACTAAGCTAGCCCTTACCTTTCACTAGCGATGGAGGTGGACCAGTTGATGCCTTTTATATAATCCAGGTTCCCCATGACCAGTAATGAAAATGTAATCCCTTTATTAGAAGCAATGAGGGTAGCCCCTTTATCAAATAGCCCCACCCAAGGCTCTCCTTTGACCACGTCTCCGAACACTGAAACTACTACCCACTCCTCAATGCCTACTAGTGCATTACCCACCCAAGCAGAGAATCAATCTCCAGAAGACATTCCTACCCAAGGTCTATATGAGCACAGGTCTCGTCACTTCGGAGTTCTGCGCAGCTTTGGGTGATAAGGCCTATGACGTCACCTGGAAAGAGCTGAGAGCAAGGGGGGCGGGGGGAATTAGAGCATGGTAGGCAGGGACATAGATAATAGAAAATGGTAATAGATGAGCAGATACTTGAGTAATTTCAGATGTCGGCATGTTGAACGATTTGCATATTAGACATGTTTTGCAGGCGATGATTATCAGCGATTGTTTGCAGGCCTATATCATATATTCTACGTGAATTTAGTTTTGTAATTCATGTGTTGCAGCTTAGACATGGCATAATAAAGACGTAAAATAAATAAAAAAGACATGGCATATGTAAACTCCAAATGTTTTTGATGAATTTATTATAAAACGAATCATACAACAATAACAATGATAATGATAATAATAATAAATAATAATAATAAATAATAATAATAATAATAATGGCAATACATAAACATACACATAAATGTACATATATAAGCTGCAACCAACCACTGGGCATTGTGACTTTGCGCGCGACAGTCAGTCAAGCGAGCGAAAACCGAGAGAGGGAGAGATCATTACGGTTCTACCTCACATCAAAGAATGACCACGCGATTAGCGTCGAACCCCCAGGCTCTGCTCCAGATGACGTCATGCGCGAGACGGACGAATTTGAGTCCCTTAGTGACGAGACCTGTACTTATATAGACCTTGTTCCTACCCACCCAACTTCCTCAAATTCATCAACTCTATATCCCCGCAACCTTCATCAAGCAACCAATCCTCCCTTATTACTACCTTGCAACCTTATTCTCCATCATTCCGTAATACTCCCTCTTCCACACGTCCCCGACCATCCACCACCACCAACCCTACAGATATCTTAAATACTCTGTTTAGCCCAGCTAAATGGGACCGATTTTTCGTGATCCCTTCTACAGCTCCTTACTCAGGCAACACTCTTCTCTTTCAACAATGCCTCCAAAAACAAGTAGGCAGAGTCCCTTTCTATACCAGACGCGATCGCTCCCGTCTTGTAACAGTCAGATCAGAAACTGAATCTATAGCACTATCAAATTTAACTGATCATTCTGGCAACCCCATTCCTGCAGAACCTCATCCAACCTTTAATACCTGTACCGGAACTCTCTCTCTCCCCAGCAAACTGCCCAGTCGATACCAAAGATTGGTCAGACTGTGGAGAAGACTTATTAGGATGCCTCAAAGACCAAGATGTGAAATCAGTACATTGCTACACCATTCCTCCTAAAGGTCAACGAAAGAATCGACCAAATTGCCAAAATTACCTTCCGTACACATGACCTTCCCTTACGTATCTACATTGGTGGACAATCCCTCCCTGTTCGACCATACCAACCCCCTCCCGTCAATGTCAAAACTGTTGGCGCTTTGGACATCCTGCCAAACATTGCCGTTCCACAGACCGATGCCCCATATGTGCCCAACCTGGTCATAATCGATCAAACTGCTCAGCACAAACACGAACATGTGCTAACTGCGGCGGCCCCCATAATGTATTTTATAGAGGCTGTCCCACTTACAAGTTTGAATCTGAGGTAGCAACTCTCAGATACAAAAATGGTCTCACTTTACGTGAAGCCAGACAGGAAGCACGTCGACAAGGTTTCTCTCATACTCCATATTCTAGCAACATCGTTCGCTCAGCCCTTCCCCCTCCACCCAAAATGTCCCCATTTCCACTTCTACATTCTACATCCCTCAGACCAATTCCTTTGCCACTCTAAACCCAGACACCCCAATCTCAACCACAGCTCCTATCAACTACAGCCCCAACATCTCCCTCCCACTACCCGCAGTAGACAGACTAAACGTTCTAACCCTTCTTCCCCTACAGCACAATCACCTCCACCTACCTATACCTTTGTTCCTGAGACACCAGTCTCCTCTTCCCCCCCTCATAAGAAAACCTTTATTCCACAAAACTCTCCAACCAATTCCATTGCAGAAACAATTACCTTCTCACAAAACTCTCCAACAATCCACTGCAGAAACAATGGATGACATTCAAAGCTATATGCTTGACACAAGATCCCATAACTCATGCTCCTTCCACACTTGAAGTGGTTGCCCCTCCTACTAATATTCCCCTACACCCCTTCCTCCTACTCCCTCTCAAACAACCTAACCCCTCAATTCCGTCCACCTCCGATATCCATCCTTCCGATATCCACCCTCCTACCACTAATACTCCCCCCACATCTACTCCCTCCCAACACAACCCACCCCTTCAACCCCAACTATAGGCACATTCTCCCTCCTCCATCCCCTCTATCTTTTGCACTCCCGATACCCAGAGAATCACACATGTTCGCAACAATGACCTTCCCCAATTCCCTACCTCCTAATACCCCTCCTTCACACCCCCTAGCTCCTTCTCCCCAGATTCCCCAATGCGTACCGTATGCGATATCACTCATAAGCTATAGCTCTCCTACACTGGAATATTCGCGGTTTCCGTTCTCATAGACCAGACCTACGTCATATCTTGCTTCTTATAATCCATCTATTATCTGCCTCCAAGAGACTCCTCACACACCCTCCTATTCCAATTTCCAATTACCATTTTATCTCTTCCCCACACTCCTTTATGTCTCGTCTATACTTATCCATCATAAAACACCTTATGTCATACCTCCCATACAAACTACTGTCCCGTCTACTTCTCCCCATCCCA